AATATGTGTATATATATATATATATATATATATATATATATATATATATATATATATATATATATAATATATATATATATGCATGTGTATATATATACAAATATACATACATAGAGAGAGAGGCAGACAGACAGACAGACAGGCAGACAAACAATCAAGCAACGAGAAACAGAAACTTGACTAACACCTATAATCCATACGAAGGTTATACATCTCGTTTCATATATCAATCTAGACAAAATTCAACCTCAGATCATATCCTTTTCTATGCTCTAATCCGGAACGTCTCCAGTCTACGAAAGGACGTTTAAATCCATCTGTGAAAGGGATTATGCCTCGGATTATAAGAAAAAAGACGTACTGTGATGATTGCTTAAGGGTTTTTTTGTTTTGTTTTTGTTTTTTTTGTTTTTACAATTTCCGGGAAAGTCTCCCAAAGGGTTGATCATCAGCTGTTAATACATAATGATAAAGCGGTGTTTTTTTTATTTTCCTAACTTGTGTTTTCTTATCCTTTTGTTTATTCGTTTTATTGATTTTTTATTTTATTTTATTTTATTTTCCTTATTTTCTTTCTTCCGTATTTCTCGCCCCCTCTTTCTCTATCATTCCCTGTCTCGCTTTCGGTGTCTCATTTTTTGTTTATTTCTTCCTGTCTTACTCGTCCTTTCATTCTCGCTCTATATTCTAAACATTTCTTCTACATCTCTGCATCATTTGTGTATTTGTATGCTTGAACGTGCGCCCGCGCGTGTATGTGCGTATGCATGTAAAACACACACACACACACACACACACACACACACACACACACACACACACACACACACACACACACACACACACACACACACATCACTGGATACTACTGTTATTTTAATGAACATTATTATCAATATAATATTTCTTATCAGCATTATCTCACTATTATATTATTATCATTAATCATTAATCATTATCATCATCTAAAGGAAATAACTTAATTTATTAAATCGGTTCTAATTAAAAATGTACAGATATTTTTTTCTTCTCCGTAACATTTTCGGAAAAAAATATATGATATCGATTTTGTTGATATAAGGGGGTGCATGATTTAAAGAAATGTCATTAGAAAATTGTTCTATTAATCTTGAATGTCTTTCCTCCATATCATTAATATGAACTATAATATATATTGACAATAATGTAGAATTTAACCTTTGTAGCCTGGAAAATCGCAAACTAATGTAATATGAGCAGTTTATAGTATCTATATTTTCTATAATTTTGAGGCCTTTTCATACCTTATAAGATTACGAAATTTTATATTTTTTATGATATATGGACAAAATTTCATTTCTAAAGACTTAAAGAATTAAATAGCTTATAATCATAACCAACAATTCACAAAGCAGATAGCGTATTAAGTTACTTTACGTTCCATAGTCTATACCATAACGATTATAATGTATATAGCCTGGATGGTTTTTATTCGTGGAAATTAACATACGCGTAATGATAATGATGAATACAAATTTAATGAATTTAACATTGCATATAATGGTAATCATCATCATCGCCGTCATAATAATAATGATAGAAATATTAATAATGATAACAATGATGATGATAATGATAATAGTGATTCTGATGATGATGAAGATGAGGATGAGGATGATGATAATAATAATAATAATAATAATGACAATAATGATAATAATAATAATAATTATTATTATTATTATTATTATTATTATTATTATTATTATGATAATGATAACGATAATGAAAATATTCATGATAATAATATTAATGATAATACTCATAATACTGATACTAATAACACTAATACTTTTAATGATAATGATAATGATACTAGTAATAATAAAATGATAATAATAATAACGAGAATAAAATATAGTAATAACAAAAATAATAGTAGTAACAAAAATGGCAACGATAATAATAAGAAGAATAGTGATAATGACGATAACAGCAATAACAAATAAAGAGCATAGTAAACAGTAAAAGTCATTATAAAAATTCGAAAGCGATTCAGACGAAGCACAGAAGACAATTGACATTCTGATTGGGCGACCAGATCAGGCAAAAAGGAAAGCGATTGGATACACAAAACCGTCGATATTACTTTCTGATGAATAAATACTACAGTTAGATTTGATAAATTCGTTCTCGTTGGTTACAGGGGGGATTATTATTACTTCGTTATGTTTGTGTTTGTTTATTTGTTCGTTGATATTGGTTGTCCAGTTCGTTAATTTTTGTTTTTATTATCATTCATTCAATTATCTGTTTATATATATGTTTGTTTTGTTTTGTTTTTATAGCTTTTAAAGGTTCTTTGTGCGTCTGTTTATAGGCCTATGTGGTATTCTAAATTTTCTTTCTTATACCTTTCCATGCGTATCTCTGTGTGTGTGTGTGTGTGTGTGTGTGTGTGTGTGTGTGTGTATGTGTGTGTGTGTGTGTGTGTGTGTGTGTGTGTGTGTGTGTGTGTGTGTGTGTGTGTGTGTGTGTGTGTGTGTGTGTGTGTGTGTGTGTATGTCAGTGTCTGTACTGTTCGTCCGTATGTGTATACTTGTGTGTGTGTGCATGGATGTGCGTGTGCATGATTCCGCCATGAATAAAGTCTAAATGCTTAGGCCGCTTTAAAATTATCCCCGCGAGTCTCGTCTTCCGTCACGCCCAATAGTTGATCCGATGTCATTTGTTTTTTGTTTTGTTTTTTTCATGCACATTTTTGTTGTTGTTGTTGTTTTATTTGGTCTGTTTATCTTACTTATTTTTTTAATCTATTTATCGTTCACGTAATTTATCAGTTTGTTCGTTTACTTCGTTTATTCGCTTACTTACTAACTTATTCACCTTCTTGATAACTTAATCTTTCCCTGACTTATTACTGTTAATTTATTAATTTGCTTGTTTATACATTAATCTATTTACTTATTTAGTAGTTCATTTATTTTCTTATGCGTTTATGTATTTCTCAAGTTATTTAGTATTGTATTTCAGATTCTGTTCATCAGATCGTTTAATTTATTTACTCTGCTATCTTACGCATACAATTATAATGATAATTATAATATACAATAATTATAATTATAATATAACTATAATAATAGTTATATATTGGCATTGCCTTTTTTATACTATACTTGAATTGGGTGTTTCATAGGTGTATATATATTTTTTTTTCATAATCTTCGGACAGTAAAATAAATGAGCCTGAATGATACAAAAGTTACTAATAATAACCCCTTAAAACTTTAACAGTGAAAAAACAAGTAATTTCGCTTTATTCGTAGGTGTTTTTGCAGTGAAGAGAGTGAGAGAAAAAGAGGGAGAAAGAGAGAGAGGGAGGGGCGAGCGAGAGAGAGAGAGAGGGAGAGAGAGAGAGAGAGAGAGAGAGAGAGAGAGAGAGAGAGAGAGAGAGAGAGAGAGAGAGAGAGAGAGAGAGAGAGAGAGAGAGAAAGAGAGAAGAGAGAAAGAGAGCGAGAGAAGAGAGAGAGAGAGTAAGAGAGAGAGGGAGCGAGCGAGAGAGAGAGTGAGAGAGAGAGAGAGAAGAGAGAGAGAGAGAAGAGAGAAAGAGAGAGAGAAGAGAGAAAGAGAGCGAGAGAAGAGAGAAAGGGAGAGAGAGAGAGAGAGAGAGAGGGGGCGAGCGAGCGAGAGAGAGAGAGAGAGAGGGGGGGGGGAGGGAGAGAGAGAGAGAGAGAGAGAGAGAGAGAGAGAGAGAGAGAAGGGAGGCAGGGGAAAGTAAGAGAGACAGAGAGAGAAGGAGAGAGAGGGTGAGACAAATAACTCTGATAAATAAAGTTATGCTGAATTTCAGTAATGCCTTTATTATGTCCCCCGTACTGGAATAATGGAATTATGTAAAGGGAATATTAATCTTTATGACGAGCAGAAATATCATTCGCAGATATTAGAGCAGAAACCAGAGAATCATTCAAACATATAAAGATAAAACAAACTGATGCAACATCACTTAATCACATCTCAAACTCATATCTCCTACGTGTTATAAATTACTTGAGTGGCAAATTATTTTACAGCATTGATATAATTTCAGAAGAAACACTATATATATATACAAATCTGTTTATGAAACTAATTTGTGTATAGTGTAATTCTCTATTGATATGTGATTAAAAACGGCATTGTAGTAGATAAAAAGGACGACTATTTTCTATGTGATATCTGAATAAAAACTGCGATAACAAGACAAAAGTGAAGAATAAAAAAACAGCGATAATAAGACAAAGGTGACTGATGTCTCATATATGATGTATTAACAATGACTGCGATAATATGACAAAAGTAGTCGAGGCCTTCTATGTGAGATAGGGACAAAAATTGCGATGATATGACAAAATTAACCGATATTTTCTTTGTGATATATGAATAAAAGCTGAGATATTTCGAATAAAGTAATCGCCATCTCACAAATGATATATAAATAAAAAGTGCAACACCGTGACGAAGCTAACGGATATATTTATCTCATAAGAAATACAAACACATTTCTTTAATTGTCTTCGAGTGAAAACAAAGCCGGGATACGCAAGTCTTATTAGGAAAAGATAATAAATAAATGAATGGGCGAATTAATAAGCTTGATTCAGTGTAAAAGAAAACTGACTTCGGAAAGAGTGGCATTATAGTGAAAAAAATAAGTATTTAGATTCGTTTTATCTTGTCTGATTTGGAGACTTCGATTCCAGATTGGGAAACGCTTTACTTTTTTCTTGTTTTTGAAGGTCTGATTTTAATCGAAAATTTTTATTTTCTTTCGCCTTCGATTCATCTCACAAACAAAAAAGGCAGTTCTAAATGTATCTATTATTATAGATAGCTTTGGTTTGAAGCTGTTATTCAAAGTTAAGAAATCAATGTATTGTCTAGATAAAAACATAATTTCGCTTTTGGTTACAAAATATTATGAAAAGAGACTTTTTTTTACATTCCTTAATTATTCTAATTTCGTGAATTGTATGACTTACCTTAGAAGTTGGTCCTTTTCTGACGTAAAGGGTCGGAGGTTCTCGTGAGGAAAGGTGACAGAAGGAATAGGAGATGAAAGTCGAAATGGGTCGTGGCACCAAGCGCTCTTTTTTTTCCTCTCCTCTCTGTCTCTCTCTTTCTCTCTCTCTCTCTCTCTCTGTCCTCTCTACAGCGTGTACCACCTGTTGTGTGTGTCTCCTTCGGGCGGTGGCGACGGCGTGGCTTTGCGGCGCGTGTGAGCGGGCGA